AAAATGACTTCGGTGTTTGTAAGATTATTCTCTTTGGAACACCATCCAGAATGCAATGCTCAGATTGCTCATATCCCCCTTTAAATTAGTTTACTAGCAAATCCTCAACAAAAACTGTCAAATCCGACTCATTTCCAGTCCAAAATGCACTCTGGTATATTACTGCAACAGGCTGGAGAGACGCCAGAATTCACAGCTGAAACTTTTTGCTGTTTGGGAAATGTCATTATCAGCTGTTGTAGGAGTTTGTAATTATCATTATTCTGAAAGCAACATCTACGTTCTGAGCCCTCAGCTGAACCACCTATGTGGAGCAGACCTTTGACACCTGGGATTTCTGTAACCCCCCAAATTAGTAACACTGCTGACTGAGGTTGGATTTTGAGCAGACCCCTAGACTCCGCCGGCAGGTTAAGGGACAACCTGCCACACAGCGGCATGTTGGTCCCAAGTCACACCACACACTTTGCATTCACAACTCTTTCAACCCTTACCACAAATGTCCCCCCAGGGAAGCAGGGAGGTATTGCCCCTGTTACAAATTATAACACACCCTGAACATTGGGGGCTGCTCAGAAAAAGTCAAAACTGTGGCTGTTAGATCCTGAAATGCTAGATCAAGGGTCTACCAATGTTTACTTTTTGTGGTTATGAATTAACGAAACCCACACTTTATTCATTTCCTATCATGTATGCAAACATAACAAGCTTAGGATTTCATTGGTGTCTTTTTGTACAGACATTAACATCAGACATAAAAATTGGTGTGTTACAGCAGACGGTCTAAAATCTGACATTTTAAAATACACCTCTTATGTAGAATGACATTTTATACTTAGAAGCATAGAAAACGTTTCTTACATCTAAGTTTAGAGGAGAAGACCTTCAAACTCCCCGTAAACTTTTCACCTTTCCCCCTTCATCTCTCCTGACTTCACTCTGCGGTTCTGGGGGCCCGCCTGAGGAACTCTGGGGAACAAATCAAAGTCAGCCGGAAACTTCCACTCCTTTTCACAGTGCCAGGAAGCGCCCATCAAATCACCGTAGGAGCACAGTACTCTCTCTTCTCACTCGGGGCAGCTTGTGACAGACTCATCACACGATGAAGTAAACCCATCTGTGGAGGACTCGGTCCCCTCACCCTGGACTCAGTGAGGAATGGGAGGAAATCTGCCTGCAATGCTGGTGGCATGAAACTTTCAGAAACGCGCTTATGCACAAAATCCCCGAATCCAAACCACGCAAGTCAGATGATCATCCAGATACCAAGTGCACGAGGCCACACCGTCCAGTTTTCTAGCACGTGGCAATTTAAAAGCCGTTCCAGGAGACGCAGCACAATATTTTGAGGGACGTGGGGGGCCTTGTTCTCATTGTATAGAAATAAGCTGAGTTTCAGGGCTGTTACTGGGGTTGATTCAAGTTGTACCGGTAGAAAATGGAAGTCTCAAAACTGGTTGTTCCAAGTGACCACAGTTTCTCTCATAGTAATTAAACACCTAGTTTTTATTTCCAAATCAACTGTGGGCTTACCATTTGTCTGATTCCATGGCATTCTATTTCCAATTGTCAATGGAGTAATTAGAGCATTAAAGGAGAATAAGCAACATCCTGTGCTCTGCAGACTAATAAGCATGATCCACTCACTCGGGAGTTTTCGGAAATCTGTAAGTGGGCACAGGAAGGAAGGGACACAACCTGATACTGGGTAGCTGCCCCCTGTGCCCTTCTCTGTCCACGGGGATTGCCGCCTTCCTGGCATATTTTTTCAGTGTTACAGAAAACTTGCCGAGCCAACTGGTCCAATAAAGGCTAAATCACATCACCGAAGTTCTCAGGAAGGGTCTTTGTACACCATGAGAGCACAGGTAGAGTATCAGGATTTCTGGACAAGAAAGGATGCTGAGTACGAGAGAGGCCAATGCAAACCACGCTGCAGATAAAGAGCGCTCTGGGCCGTGGTTAAAACTCAAGTGCACTTGGCTAAAGACTACAACTTCAAATTCTTTCTTGCCATTTATCCTAAAAATAAGTCATGTCTCTAGCTTACAGCACAGCCCCTGTTCCCGATGTGCCATTTGAGCTACTTTCCTGTCTTCTCTTCCCCAAGCTTCATGGAGCATCTACACTCAGCCCCTTGGTTCCCCACCTCACCTTTCCTCTCCTACTCGCAGCTCGGCTCCTTCCAGCTACTCCCTGAAACCTCACCGGCATCTTGGATTCTTCCCCATCTGAGCCACCCTGCACATCCTAGGAGTTTTACATTCTCAATATTTTATACCTTCTTCTCCATTCTATGTCTCTATTCAAAAAAGTCCATGTCCTGATTACTTCCTGTCTGTACAGAAGTAATTGGGATATGGACCTTTTAGTTGCCTTATTCAAAGAATTTGACCTCTGTCAGGACCTGTTTGAGTATACACTATGCCATACAATTTAGCCACTGTAAGTATACAATGCGGTGGCATTAACACATCCACAATGTTGTGAAACCATCACCACTACATTTCTGAATTTGTCCCGTCACCACAAACAGAAATTCTATACCCCTTAAGCATTTAAGGTCCCCATCCCTTCCCTCTCTCAGCCCCTGGTAGCCTCTAATCAGCTTTCTGTCTCTATGAATTTGTCTATTCCAGATGATTCATACAGTGGAATCATACAACGTGTGCTCCTTTGGGTCCGGCACACTTAGCATAATATTTTTAAGGTCCATCCATGTTGTAACGTGAGTCAAAATTTCATTCTTTTCTGTAGTTGACTGTCCCATTTATGTTTATCCACTGATCTGTATACACTTCTTGCCTTTTAGTTGGCCCCCTGATCTATGGTCATGTCCATTCTCCTGCTCCAATAAGCCTCAGTGGTTCTGGCCTAGCCATACAATTGAGTCCAAATTCCTCTGCCTGCTACTTGATAGAGACAAACCTCTCCCCAGGTATGAGAGCAGCTACCCAGTGGACGTTTCCCTGTACACATCCTGCTCCTACACCTTTGCCCAACTGGTTTCTTTCTCGTGGAATGTTCTCCTCCTACTTCCTCAGGCCAAAGCCCCCCTCGTCCCTCATGTAACTGCTCTAACCCCACCTGCTTCGTACCTCCTTCTAGCTTCCCGAGGCAAGTGAGTCCTCCCTTTACTAACCTTCCAGAGGACCTTGCGCTGGGCATTTAATACCCCGCACCACTGTCTTTTCTCTCTCCACTCCTCCAAGGCGAAGTTCACACCAGAGCTTCTATTGCAGTGTGGAGCATGGTGCCTCACACAGAACGGGTATCAATACGTATTTGCTCAAGCGACTGCAACCTTATCAAAAAGACTGAGAAGATGGCAGTTTCATTATGAGGCTGTATGAAGACATTTACATTTTTTAAATGAAATAAAACATCAATTATTTAGGATAAAACACAGTAACTGTGGAAGAGATACGGATCCATTTAGAGGAAATCGGGAGAGTGATGTGGTCCTCAGCTGTCTGGCAACGCTTAAGCAATAGTTACTAAACAAAATAAACTTAGTATTTTCACGTAAGACGAGAACTAACCCTATTTGAATACCACCGAGGCATGACAAGATGGGGCTGTGGAATGGGACTGAGGGGAAAGAAGAGAAATTAAGGAGGATGCGGCAGAGCCCCAGGCCTCCCCAGGAGCCCAAGATCTGCTTTCGGCCCTTTGGGGAAGTAGCTTCTGGGTCAATGTTCTGGTCAGTTCTGCTGCCAGGACTGCCCGGCAAGCCAGTAGGCGCCTTCCCTGTACAGGGACCCTGGTCCAGCTGTGCTTGGCATTTCCCGCCCAGTTTTTCTGCAGAGCGTCTGCCCGCCCTGCTGTTTCAATCTTGCCTCTACTGGGGAAATGGGCGATGGTCGGAGGAGGAGCGCCGGAGGCTAGTCCTGTGCCGCCCAGTGCCCAGTCAGGGACTCGCGCGCCACCTGGTGGCGGGAACAGGCCTCGCTTGCGGAGTCGTCTCCGGCGCAGGCCTGGACACGAGCCGCTTTGGGGTGTTTTGATCTCTCTGTTATTTGGGAGACAGGCGGGCCTGGTTTTTACTATTCCTTTCCTCATTTCATTAGTGAGGGTGGGGAAGAGGTTCTGTCGTTCTGATTCTTTTGTCATTCTTATGTGGACATCCTGTCCACGCTGTTTCGACACATTCGCCCTGGGCACGTTCCCACAGGAACTGCAGATCCTAAAATGTGCAGCGGAACCCAAACTGGGCAGCTGAACAGGTCAAGGAGGGAGAGCGACGCGAGCGAACAGGACTAGAAGTCAAGGCCGGGGACAGCGCCTCTCTTCAGTTCTATCTCTGAAGCCTCCCCAGGGCAGCATCCGCGTCTGGCCCATCCCCCAGAATAAATGCCCAGTAAGGTTCTGAGCGGATGTGACCGCTGTGCCGACTTTACATATGGGAAGACCGAAGACTATAACCCTCGAGCACCTTGTCCAAGGTCACAGAGCTGAAGGTACACGAAAATGAGGCGCTCAGGAAAGTGGGGAGTCGGCATGGAAGGCCGCGAGCCGGGTATTCGCCCCTCAGCCTGCCCGCCAGGCCCCAGCAGGCTGCGGCAGGACCCGGGACCTCCTCCCGCCCCACCCCCGCGGCGCCCGCCACTGGTTGCCACGGAGACGGGAGGTGGTGGCGCAGGCGCGCAGGGGGCGGGGAGGGCGCGCGAGGCCGGAGCAGAATGGCACTGCGCAGGCCTAGCGTCTCTGTTGCTAGGGCCGCCCCGAGCCAAAGTAAGGTTCCCGAGCCTTGGGTCGCGACGCGATCGCTCGAACCTGCTTCTCTGTGCCTGCGCTCTCTGGGCCAGCGAAGCACCCCCGACTGTCACCTCTTCCTGCTGAAGTGAAAGACTATCACCGGCCCCCGAACTTCTCTCCAGAAGAACTCCTGCAGCTCCTGGGCACCTTTGCTGGTGCCCTGACTCTTGCAGCCAGCTGCCCTTCAGAGGGCATCGGAAGAGCTTCCTGGTGGGCGAGGGAAAGAGGGAAAGTAGCCAGCCATGTCGAACGCGTAAGTGGTGGGCTCTCAGCGGTAGCTGTGGAGTGGGCTCTCAAGCGGTAGCCAGAAAGTGGCTTGCTCTGCTTCTATTCCTTTTTTCTTTTCTCCTCTTTTCCCTTCCTCCCCACTACCTTCCCCTCCTCTACTTCTTTTATACCCTTTCCCAAATTCAGATATGCC